GTGTCCAGCTTTTCCCACAGACTTGCTTTAGATGAAACATGAGTTCGATCAATCTTTGAATGTTCTGCATCCCAAATTTGTTCAATAGGACTCAAATCTGGACTTTGACTTGGCCTGTCCATCAGTTCTAGAACATCAGATTCCTTTTTCTTGGTCAAATAGCCCCTGCACAGCTCTGAGGTATGCTTGGAGTCAGTGTCTTGTTGGCATATGAACCCACGACCAATCAGTTTGATGTTGTGGCAGATGTTCTTGTGCATGATACCATTGATTTTCACTAATTTGTCCACACTGTTTCCACAGATGGAACCCCATAACATGATGGAATCTCCACCGTGTTTCACTGTGGGTGCAACGCATCTGGCATCAAAACGTTCTCCAGCTTTTCTGTGGCCATAAACACAACAATGCAGCCGAAGAGTTCAAACTTGGACTCGTTCATCCAGAGTACCTTCTTCCAGTCAGCAATAGTCCAGTGTTTGTGCTCCTTGGCAAATCTGAGGTGTTTCTGGATGTTTGCAGACCTCAATAACATCTTCTTAGCAGCTATACTTCCCTTTAAGCTTTGTTCCATCAGTCGTCTGCTTATGGTCATTCTGGAGACCTTCTCAGACTCTGATCTAGAAGCGTTCATCTCTGCCTGAAGATCAGCAGTGGTCTTCCTTCTGTTTTCAGTACGTAAAACCTTGTGGTGTCTAACATCTGCTTCAGTTAACTTTTGTTTCCTGCCTCTTCCTTGAAACATACCAGCCTCAGCAACTGACTCCAAAGCACACTTGACCACACTGTGAGAACACTTTCTGTCTTTTTCCCCGTCTCAGAGACCATCCAGCATCATGAAGTGCTTTAATGCGAACTCTTTAATTTTCAGTGCGCTCTCAGTGTTTTACCATTTTGAACAGGAATGAGGAATTTCAAACTGAATTCAACTTTTTACACCCAAATCTGAGCTGACTCACTGGACTTCTCTGAGAAGTCAGAAATTAATCAAGCATAACATTCAACCACTAAAACATTTTTTTTCTTTTAAGGAATGCAATAACTATAATTTGACATCTTAATTAAGAAATCATAATGCACTTTACTATTTTTTCAGTTTATTTCTAGAACAGTAAATTGGAAAAGTCATGGATAACAAGAATAATTATATTTTAATATTAAAATGTCGTTTCTGTTAAAGAGCTTCTACATACTGGTTTATTAACCATTACAGACACATTAAAAATGGCTTTGGTAATTACCAATGCTGTTCATTTAGGGCAGCTGTGGCAAAAACCTTACATTGGGTGGTGGTTTAATACATTTGTTAAATACATTAACTGCTACTACAATCACAGACTGAAATCTCAAACCAAACTCACAGCTGACTATAAGCCCTTTCTGATTTTCTTATTCCACTGTAGTGTAGGATCCAACAGCTTTAATTCTGAATGCACAGAATCGACAAATAGCATTTACTGGATGTAACTCTGGTTCCATGAGCATGTAGGAAAGAGAACATGCAGTGTTTATGTTTCACTATAAAGTTTTAATTTTATATTGAAGACAGTAATGTTAGAAAGAAGACTGCTACCCGACAAGGACAGTAAAAATGATGCATGTTGTCCTCTTTGAGTTCAATCAGTTCTTTAAGTTAAACTAATCAGCCTTGAAATCCATACAACAGTTTTTTCATGGCAGCAGTATCTACCCTGGACAAGGTATCTTTTCCCTTTTTTTTTTTTTTTTACTACTACCTGCCGTTCTTCTCTCTTTTATCTTTCTTAATCTACTTTTATTTTACTTTTATCTTCATTCCCCTGTGATGTCATCTTTTTAATCTCTCTTTCTAATCAGTTTTATCAGTATACCTTTCAAGAGTGACGCAGTCCGTCAACTGCCTGCAAGGTCTGTACAATATAAATCAGCACTTTCATATTAGCCTGCAACTACTAAATGAAGGGAAAGCTGCATTTTAAAAAGAAAGTGAGACAACAAATGTATCAATAATTGATTAAAGCATTCTTAAGATGACACAGACAACTAATTGTATGTTTTTTTTTATGTTTCAGATATAAAAGTCAGTATAATCGATTAATGAAATATTAGGTAAATAGAAGCCCTAATGATGCAGTTAAATGTAAAAAATAAATAAATTAAAAAAAAAATGGGTACAGTTTCTTGTAAAAATCACCAAAGCCTAGCTGAACAATATGAGCCAAAAAAAAAAAGTTCTTTCTTATTCGTCAGACCTGTCTCACTGTTACTCTTTATGAATTTCTTCTGCATGTCTCCAACAGTGTTTTTTGTCAATTGTTGATGGAGTTCTATAAGAATTTATAGATTACATTTTTACATATGATAAAGAAAGTCCACCTTTTCTTTCATGCAATTCACTTTTCCTTCAGCCCTCTTCTGTAAGGCGCTTTGAAACATAGATTTTGAAACCGTCTCCGCAAACATTTATGTCTATTGTATGATAAGAGAAGAGCTTTGCTTGTGTAATAAAAAATGAGAACAGATTTATGCACAGTCTGGTTTTAAACTTAGAATGCTTGTAGTAATTTAACCTGATTCTCTTTCTTACTCAGTTTTAGGAAGCAGACTTAGCGGAGTCTCACAGCTCCGATCCAACA